CATATATATATATATATATATGCTAATGTAATGACTCTGCCATGTGACGCCATGATTATTACATATATATATTCGGTTCATGACAACTCAATAGAACAATGTTCCACGGACAGACCTATGGTTGAAAGAATATTTATAAATTTCTTTAAAATAGAAATATTCATACAGCGCGACTACTAAAAATGCAGGGAAAGGACACTATATTTGAGGGAAATAACGTTCAGTATTCTTCCTGGAAGTAGAGAGTTTAAGAATTCAACGGACTCAGAAACAACACCTCAACCCAGACAATATCATTCATGAAATTATAACCGAATATAACGTCTAACGAACTTCAAGGTTCACAAGGTTAAAAAAGTCACACCTCCAATATAAGACTATTTTCATGAAATAGACGCTCGAAGAAATTGGAATTACCATAATACCATTCGACTATACCACAGTTAAGTCTCCAGATGCAGCAGCAGAGGATATTTGAGTCTTTATTCAGCTTAAACGCGAACTTATAAGTGGAAGTCCACGTAAATTGGAGTCTGTAAACAGTTTGTCAAGATGTGTGGTATAAGATTAACTTCGCAATCTTCACATAAGCTTGTTACAACGAGAATTGCTGTGTTTAGCAATGAAACACAACAATGAACTCCAATAGTTATGATTAGAAATTGTTGGCTACTGAACAAAGAGCATGATTTATTTAGTAGCTACTGTTCTGTAGAGTTGTTTACGATGTATGGTAACGATTTTTTCTTCCAATTACTTCGTCCGTTGACATACACGTGACCTATGACTACATACGTTGAAGGCCTCAATCTTCATGCTGCAATTGAGTTAAATACTGGTAATTTTTAATGCAGATAAGGCCTAAACGTGACCCTTGTGTACGTTTTGTCACTATGAATTAAGTTTTGTTTAATAGTTTTTGGAATTTTGTGTAGAACTGACAGACTTAAAGGAAGGCAACTAGCCAACACCATCAACTGCCAACTTTTAGGCTATTCTTTGACCAACGAAAAGTGGGATTGACTATCACTTTATAACGCCCTCATGGCTTAAAGGACGAGGATATTCGTTGACTGGGTTCAAACTGGCGGCCCGCATGTTGCGAGTCATTGTCTTAACTACCTGGCCATGCAATGCCAGCTGAAAGAAAATGTTAAGTCCGTTTATTATACGTTTGAATTAAGCCTAACAAAGTTCTAAAGTGTATCTAGTTAATGTTCCAAAGTGTTTAGAATATACACCATTTTAAAAGGTGAAAATAAATGAGGGAGGAGGTAGAGAGTTCCTTGTTAAAACCCTCATGTACAAATATTGGTCTTCTTATCTCTTATTCTTGATGAACAGTTTTGTTATAATTTATTATTAAAGTTAATATGCCATTGAATTTTCTAGATAAAAAAAAATATATTTCAACACTAGAGCTAAGCTACATGTTACTGTGATTACTCAACTACTTATGGTTATTAGACTAGTGTGCAATGAAGTGTTAGGGGGCACTGCAATTAACTAAATAAGTGTAGTAGAAAATAAATGTAATAGGAGTCTTATCTTAGCAAGTGCGTTAGTTAGTTGTCGACAAAACAATGATACGTACGTCATATGTCTTATTTGGCCAATTTTTGAAAATAAGTTAGGGGTTTTCTTTAAAAAGAAAGTATTCATAAAAATAAAAGTTGGTATATTCTTATATTTGGATATATTTATTTACTTTTACTTGACTCGCTTGCGTTTTAATTATTTTAAATAAAAAGTTAAGACAATGTTTTATAGAGTATTTGGGTTTCGTGTGGTCTAGTGGTTAGCTTGTTCAGTTGTGAAATGGAAGGAACAAGGTTTAAGCCACTTTTCAATCTTAAATGCAAACCATGCGACACATGAGCTAAACAGTCTGGTCAGAAACCTCAAGGTTCAGACATAACCGTCCCCTAATAATTTAGAACTACTGACCTGAGAGAGGCAACCAGTCAACAGCAGTCTAGACATGTACACTACAGCTTTTACCCAAATAGCAGGCTTAACAGTCATTTATATAAAGTAATCTCAACTGAAAGAGTGAAACTTGCTTCGTGGCGTGGCCATTAAATGATAAATATAGTATTTTTTTACTACCTTTGTACAATTACTTGATACATTTTACATTCTATGTTATTTAAGAAGCTGAAGCTATACAAACTATCATGTTTAAAATGTTCTACCATCGACAAAAGCTTACTTTTATTCTTATTTCTATCGGAACTTTGCGAATCGTAGACAGATGGACTGATCCTTATGAATATATTATCATATCAACTAATACCCGTTGATTTTGATCTTAGATATTTCATATGCTACATGAAAAAAAAAGAAGATAATATAAGAAAATCGTTTAAATATTAATGTTAGATGAAATATAGAGAGCCTATACATACCTACAAATACTTTAAGATCGTAACAAACTCCTAAAGGACTTCCACTGTAAGCTCGAGCAGGCTGGAGTCGAACCGAGGCTGGAGCCTGACTAGATACTTCCATAGTTAATGGGTAGGCGTTGTTTCCTAGTCTCCGGAGGAGATTTTGCTGCAGTGGACTGAGGTCATTATGGTCAATTGGTTCAGGTGGTGGATAAATCTAGAAATAAACACTGTTGTTAGATGTAGAGAAAAGATGCTTAACCTCATTCCCAGGAAAACATTTTTATACGAAATTCATTTTCATTTTTAGTAATAAAATACATATTCCTAACAATCTTACAAGTGGTTCGTATGGAGCAATGATTCATAATCATGGTTGGTACAGAGCAAAGCTACGTAATCATGGTTGGTACAGAGCAATGTTACGTAATCATCGTACGGAGTTATGCTCCGTGATCAAAGTACAAAGAGCTATAACATATAGAGAAACATATTTTATCCTATTGTCCAAAATTTATGGCCAGTTCTGCTAAACTATGGATAGAAGCATAAGCCTTTCTCCCTCCCTCACACACATCTAGTGGCCCAGTGGTAAGTCTGCGGGCTTATAACCTTAATAACCGGGTTTCGATAGCCGTGATGGGCACAACACAGATTTCTCATTGTGCAGCTTTGGACTTAACAATGAAAAAACGACAAAAGCATAAACCTTTTTAAAACATCGAGATAAAGTAAACTACCCCTATACACACGTTGTTGAATGGGAAGACCAAAAACTATAATAAAAACAATACTCCTATACACATGGTGTTGAATTGAAAGAGCAAAAGCTACAATAAAAACAATACAGGGATACGCATGGTGTTGAATGGGAATACCAAAACTACAATAAAAACAATACTCCTATACACATGGTGTTGAATTGGAAGACCAAAAGCTACAATAGAACAATACAGGGATACACATGGTGTGAATGGGAATACCAAAAAACGTCAAACTTAAGAGGATCATTTTCATATCACAATAAAAGAGCAAAATAATGTTTTTTTAAGGATTTAATCTTCTGTTATGATAACAGGTATATCAGAATTTGGAAACAAATTGAAATAAAAAAACAAGTGCCATTTATTATTATTTGTATTCGTTATGTGTAAGGTAAATAATTCACATTCTTGTGAGGTTATTAGAATACACCTAAACTTTAATTATCAGGTTTTCTAAGAATCATCCCCACACTTTCTCATATAATACAATTATAATTAGTTGTAAATTCGCAAACACAAATCTCTCAGAACACAACTACACAGTTACAATAACCATACTGACTAATGCCATAATCAGACAAAATAATCGAGTATGGCCCTGAAAAGGAAAGTAGCAACAAAAAACTAAAATAAATCCAACAAACTTACCTAATAACCAAACAAAAGATCAACAATTTACAATAGTTCAAGAGGGGAGAAGAGGTCGAACTAGCACCTGACCCTCCCAGGTCTCCAAAGACCTAAATCCCGATGAGATGACATGGGTTCCGAAACTCGTGGTGGGCACAGAACAGGTAGACTATTGTGTAGCTTTGTGCTTAACGGCAAACAAACTATGAATTTTTTTATACGTGTCACTATACGTAAAACTAGAGAATCTAATATTAATTTTCGGCATGTGTTTGTTTTTAAGTTGCCTTTGTTTGTCAGTAAAAGACGAGAAAAATTAGGTTTTTGTCATCAATTCAAGATACAGGAAATGCCTTTTACTATAAGAAGACATAAATTTTACATTTTTACTTTTCAAGGGATTAACAAGAACAGTAATTTGTTCTTGTTATAACAGAATCTGTAGGTCTTTAGTGATTTCTTTGTTATGTGAGATTATCCTGACACAATTGCGTCCAAGATCATCGATGACGCGGCAGAAGTCTTGGTCGTAAGGCGGGACGAATAGCTCTACGTATAACATGTTTCTCACAGGTCTTCTTGTGATTTGAAGGACATTATTTTTTGTATCTCACACCATTGGAAAAGAAGAAATCTAGTTCAGCTGGGTAACTAAGATACCCTTCCGGTGTTGTTCAGTGGAATGTGTCAAGCGTTCACTTGTCCTATCAGTTGTTTGTCATGTTGTCCACAGCCTAGAAAATACACTGTGTGCCACTCCAAAGTCAGTAGCAACCGATGCTTGAGTGTCATCTCAACTCTTTGGTTTGGTCGTAAGTGACGACGATGAACCGTTTTCTCAACACAAGGTGTAATTTTGGTTCGTAGTTGAACACAAACTGAAGCATCACATTCGGCAAAACTAAAAGTCCAACAGTATAGCGAAATTGTTTTAGAAATTGTAGGTTTTGTGTTATAAGCATGATAACTAGCTACGTGGTAGTGTTTAAACCGCTAAATATTTCTGGATAAGGTGACGTTTTAAATAAAATCAAGATAGCCGCCATAAAATTGGAACATTAAGGTAATAGAAAATACTTGTTTGTAGAATTTGGTTTTCTTGACAATATCACCATCTGTTCTTATACTATGTTCTTAAGATGCTTATAAAGTAAACAAGATTCAATTTATAACAAGTAGTAAACAGTAATGAACAGCTTTAAATCAAAGCCAAGTCTTTTATAGGTTTTGCTGTTCTCATAATATTTTGAAATGGGAGGCAGAAAGCTTCTATACGATTGTAAACCTTTATTTACTATAACTCAGACTAGACATACCAGATTTTCAAAATAGTATCGTTATAGTATATAGTCCTATAGAGTTAATTCAATGCCCTCTAGTGGCACAACGGCATATCTGCGGATTTATATCCCTAAAAATCGGGTTTCGATACCCGTAGTGGACAGAGCACAGATAGCTCTTTGTGTAGCTTTGTGCTTAATAGGAAACAACAAGAATTTCATTAACAAGTTTTAGTGTAATTACTGTTTCACAGAAAAGGCTTGAAGGTCTGTTACGATCGCATACTCTACTATACTGTTTAGTGTAATACATGAAATGTCATTCATGACACACTTGCAATACCCTCCTTTGTCCACATTTGAAAGAGATTCTGGCATGATTTGGAAGTGTCAAGTAGGTTGGACAAAAATGGTTCCCAGACTTGTGAGTTCCCTTTCATCCATCGCCACTGGTTTGAGCAGAGTAATTCAGGAATTGGTATCAGTGATCCTCCTAACAATGTCCAACTCGGTAAGCTATTTTTGTACGATGCAGTAGCGCTGATGAGGAGGATAGGATAGCTACAATTAATCTTCTGTTCTTCGGTGACTTCATCATACTCTTTCCAAGTCCAACGAAGAAAGATGTCTGGTCGTATTCAGTAAAACTTGAAACACTGGTAGGACCTCAGATTTTTCTGGTCCTAAGGAATGTAATATGTCCTGCACTGGTGTATGACGATAGCATTTTTCAGTCCCAACTGTTCTCTAGAGCTTATATATTTCCATCAGATGAAACATACAGATAACAAAAACCATACCGTCTGTATCTACACTTTGCACCATGACTTTTCTAAGGCCTTGTTTATATGCATCAGTTGTGCGTAGCATTAATATTCTGTCTGCCTCCTCATACGTACGAGGACTTAAACAGCCGACATTTCTTGATGTGGTGCACGTGTTTTGTTTATTTGTAATGGAAACAACCAAAATACTACCTTACTAAAAATAGACATGAAACCCAGCCTATTATTATATTCACCACTTGTCATTGATTCGTAGCTGTTTCGGGGAATTCAATCCCTCATCAGTAACCTTAGACAAGGGCAAATTGAAAGAAGAAGACTAGGTTTCTTATAGTGCTGGACTGTAAACTTATCTGTTTCCATGTTATTTCTAGTATCCTGAGCAGCACGTCAACTGAATAATTCGGAAGAATAAAGTAATAGCGTCAATGCTGTAAGTTAGATTCCAGGTAACTGGAAATCATTTCTAAGAGTTAACAAGAATAAGGTATGACTATTACAGAAAGTGGTTAAATTCCAGGTAACTGGAAATCATTTCTAAGAGTTAACAAGAATAAGGTATGACTATGTTTATAGTGGCTTTAAAAGTATTTTACTCTTCACAGTAAATCTGTATTTATGTAAGATTTGAAAAGATGTAGCATTGATGCTATTACTTTATTCTTCGGAATTATTCAGCAGACAAGCTATTTGATTAAGAAACTAAAGTTTAATATGAAGCCCATTCTATCATATTTCACTTTCTGTAATAGTCATACCTTATTCTTGTTAACTCTTAGAAATGATTTCCAGTTACCTGGAATCTAACCACTTTCTGTAATATCATTTACTCTACCCGACTTCTGTGGATATTTGTACATAGGCCAAAACCACTTCTAGTGGTTGGGAGAGGAACGTCTTGGCTAATCCAGTCTATCTAGGAGTATGGTATCAACAATTGGGGTGATGTCTTGAGTAGATAGATGGTTCTCAAGACGGATCGTCAAGTCATTTTTGCATCCAATTCATAGATTTTCGTTCTGAGATAGTGATTGTGAGCGACTTTGGTTTTCATGCCGAACAAAGTCAAAAGGTTCTCCTCATCTACTTGGAATGACACATATTAACGACAAAAATAGTTACTTTTGAGTAAAGCAGGTTGCTGTTTTTCTTTAAAATGTGATCTTCATAGACGAAAACTAACTTGTTTCGATTAAGTGGACGAAAGAGAGATTTTACTCCATTTGTTAACCCGCCTTCTTTCTTCAAAAATGTTGAATATTACTCTTTTACAATTTTCTTGAAATGTTGAAAATATTACGTGATTATCCGCAATATGTTATGTGTATGTAGAACGATTAGATCATCGTTTTAGTCTACGAATGGGCTACTCATAATCATCATTTTGATCTGTGAATAAGTTACTCATAATCATCATTTTGATTTGTGAATAGGTTACCTATAATCATCATATTTGGTCTGTGAATAAGTTGCCTATAAGCATCATTTTCATCTAGGAATGGGTTACCCATATTCATCATTTTGATCTAGGAATGGGTTACCAATAACTTCAAACACGGTGCATTGTGCCTTCACCTGATTACTAAAGTATCAGTTTCTTTAATCTTTAGTGCTGCTTAAGCAGATCTTGTGACGCTTCAAATTCATTGATTACTGAAACCAGTTCTTGTCAAAGACCACCCAGCGCAGAAGTTCTGATGAATATTCAGTTAACCCTACAGCTCCTTCATCATTTTTTACACATCTATTGATTTGTTCATGTGCGTGAACTAATAGGATGAACACCTCTCGGTGTCTCAGCGGTTAATCTTCAGGCTTACGACATTAAAAAAATCAGTTTTTTAAGATGGTTATTCTGAATCTCACCGAAGACACTGCATCGCTTATGTAGACTGGAATTCATCTGGTATAATTGGTGGGGTATGTGGCAACAACCCATGGAACCAGTCTTGTCAGGGAATCTTTGCATAATTGAAAACTTCATTTGCGTAGATAATGTGAATGAAAAACAAGGTTTTTAAATTAAAAATCCAGTGTGATAGACCAGTAGTGAACAATAAGACTATTAACTGTTCTTTCGGTTCTTCATTTTTTAAATTCAAGTGCAGACTTGATCTCAGAAAAAGACTCAGTATAGTTTCCCTAGATTAAGTGCACCAATTCGTCGAGATGAACATTAAATAATAATTTTAATTATATATCATATTTATGTATAAAACTATTTTTATGTATTTGATATACTCTCTTTGTGTGTAATCAATGTAAATGTGAATGAAATAACTTGAAGGTTTGGCATTTAAAAGGTTGAACAGATTGTATTACGGAGATTTGGAATATTTAAATCAGCAAATCAAGTGACAAACCCGAAAGGGGTAAAGTTACGGTGGAACAAAATATATAAATGTATTAGTACAACATTTTTATGTTGTTTGGCGCTGCGTAGATAGTGTGATGACACCAAAAATGGAACATAAAACAGCCCTTTCTTACGCAAAATATTCACACATTTAGGTTATAAAGGTGTCTTAAGATCTGGGATTAAGAATTTCCATGACACGGATATCCTTTGTGGAAAAAAAAGGAGTATGGATCAAACTGGAGCACCAGGAATAGACCTGCAACAAGTCGTAACCCTGATGTTATAAGCAAAGTGCAACATCTTGTAACAGACGAAAATCCATGCACGAATATAAAGACCAGTGGCAAAAGCTTTCCACGTGGCCAAGGAAACAGTATGCAACATAATCAATCTGGAAAAGCAACACAAGTCTCATTCAAGGCATGTCCGTTGAACTATCACATACCTTAACCAGCTGGAGAATGAAACGGGTATTCGTGTTATTTCCTACTAAGACATATTGGTCAAATCACCAGATACAGAGATTACGGATTTCTGTGCGATCAAACTGTTGAAACAGGCACTGGAAAACCGTGGCCCTTGTATACTAGATGGATTATGGGAACAATTCAGCGAGAAGTATATGCTTTAGACATATCATCCTTACGACAGAACTAAATATGCATTATAAACCATAGGTAGTCAGATAGAGCATGATGATATGGACAGTAAATACATGTTGAGACTCCAAAATTGTTTTAATATATCGTTCTCAACCTCCGTATTCATGAACAAACTTCGCCACATCAATGCTGTAGTATTTTTGAACCCATTTTTAATTTGGAAGCCATATTGAAAAATATTGAGTAGTCCTATACAAATAAATGGTCATTAGGAAATCCTCTAACATTGATTGTCCCACGTTCTATGCTTGTAACACAAAACCTACTTTCACCATACCGTTGGACTGCAACAACGCATTACAAGTATTTGGTTAGATTCAAATATTCTGGTAAACAGTGTGAAAGTAAAGACCCAGATGAAATAAAGATAATATGAACTGATAGTATAAAAAGCTTGAACTGATATATATATATATATGTGTGTATGTGTTCATCTGGGTAAATGAATGTGTATAATGTATATTGTTACATCATCTGTTGAAATACTACTCACGTACGTACTTGTATTTAAAATTCAGCCAGCGAATACACCAGAGGACAGAAAAAAATCTTATTAGGCTTACTGATTAGGATGGCCCAGCATTATAAGAAACAAAATATAAGAGTAAAGCAGCATACAACGTAAAACAACATAAAATTTCGAACTGGTCTTCGTTAAAAGCAAAGAAAATGCTACTAGGCAGAGGTAACTTTGCAACACAACCTGTGCTCCGAAGTACTGAATCGTTAACCAATGGTTTGTAGATGTGACATCCAATGCTTTCTATCAATTTGTTTTGTTCAGAGTACCATATATATATATATTTATTTATTTATATATATGCATTTATAAAGTAAAACACAGTTTACTTATAAGGTGAGACAAATTTTACTTATAAGGTGAAACACATTTTGCATCTGAAGTAACACACAACAACCAATGGTGTAAATCTGTGTATACTCGTAAGTCAGGATGTTGCACTCGATTAGGCTTTCCTCGTTACCAGTCTTAAGAAACACTCGAATGAACCCCCTACACTTAAACTAATTACTGTTTATCACGTTGTTATCAAATTATGGCTTACTTTAAGTACATCTAGGGCAACTTGAAAACATTTGATTCTAATTATACTTTTTTTTATTATACAAATGTAATTTATTTATTCTATAGTTTCATACATCTTATTTACTTTGTTGTCTTTTCTGCAAATCTTAGTAACAGTTTTCACGGTTTCACGACTTTAACTGGATAAACTTTGACTAATTTTATTTATTTTTGAGCAGTTGTAATGATCTTAATTCATACATAGAGGGTATTATGTCTTTGCACACTTGGAAATTATATGTATTTAACTTAGTTGAAAGATATTTGTATGTTTTATTATACATTCTCAGTAAAATTATACCCCGAAGAGTGACCTTTGAAGTCACTAAATTGGTTGAGAAAATCAATAAAGGAGAGCTAGAAATAAAATAATTTGATAATCCAATGTTTTTTATATGATTTCATAAAATATTATCAGTCAGTTTAGATTAGTCATTTGTATTAAAAAAATTAAAAGTTTTAAATTATTTTATTAGTACAAGTTTCTATAACTTTATAAGAGACTAACTTGACAAAAAATGATCGAGTTCTTTATTTCATAGATGAAATGCAAGCCACTTAAAAAACCTATTATAAAAACTAGAACATAGACTTTAACCTGTTTGAAATCCAAGACTGCTTCGGTATAGAACTTTAAGCCCATGACCTCTTCGTCTTCTCTTCCATAGCGGAATGTAAGAATCACCAAAGCATACACTTTCCTTTCCTTAACATAACTGGGGTCTATAAGTACCACTCCATCCACAGGCGAAGATTCACCATTGTCGACTATTAGTTCTCGTGTTCCGAGAAATAGCGTAAGCTTAGTGTTTGGAGACTGCTTCTTGTACACGCTATAAAGAAAGAGAAAGGAGTGTTGGTCGACTAGTAATAATAAAAAATACATAGTATCGAGTAAGTTACATCAAAACGATTTTGGATATGCAAATCAGCGAGTCACGTGACAACAACAGCCAATATAAAGTCATGGAGGAACAGAATGTATCAAAACTATATTTTGACATTGTTTGATTTCACCGAAAATGTATTGCTCTTGGGAAGGGTATACAACAGCTCTTTCCAACGCACAATATTTATTTACCCAGTTCATAAAGATGTTCTCATATAGTAGATTTAGAATTTCAAAGAAGGGGATATTTCTTATACTTACTGTTTTTGGAAAACAAAGGAATGTGGCTCATTTTGGGGAACCAGGACCATCCAAAAGGGACCTGCAAGAAATCGTGCCCCAGCGATGTTAACAAAGTGCGGCGCATTTTAAAAGGTAATACTCCATGGACGAACACAAAGGTCAGTGGTAAAAGCTGTCCAAGTGCCCCTGGCACCAGTACCGCAACAGAATCTATAAGGACCTTCTTCTGAAAACGAATCTAACAGGGTATAGATTTACCAAGATTAGGCTTTCAGTCATACCTCCAATTCAACCATCGCATACTTCAAGCAGCTGGAGAACTGAACAGATATTAATGCTAGTCCATACAAAGACATGCCGGTCAAGTCGCCGGACGCAGTGTCTAGGAATTTCTGTGCGAACTGTGATAAAATAGACAATGGGAAACCGCCGTTCTCGTACATTAGGTGATTATGGAAATAAGACATGGAGTGGGGTGTTTTGGACGCGATAGCTTTACAAAGTAGCCTTTTACTGTAGGGTTAATGCCAAGATGCCCAGCCGTTAGATACAGCATGACCGCACGTGACGACATGGGCTGTAACTAAGTGTTGAAGCTCCAAAATCGTTTTAGTGTAACGCACTGTGTAATTCAAACCTGCGAAGTTTCTTGGACCTTAAAACTCGTAATGAATTCTCTGCAAAAACACTTTTAGATTAATCAGTTTCGGGGTAATTATGCTTAATAATTAATTAATCGACGCACGAGTATTCCATTAATGTATCTTTAGAGGATTGAAAAAAAAAATAACCGCAAGAAAGTAAACTTCATAAAGAAAATTATTTAGAATAATTTAACATAATTATCAAATTTACTTAAAATACCATTAATTGAATTCAAAAATACCTGTCTTAAAAAGGTATTATGTATTTAAATAATTTATCCCTTTTGATTACGTCTCTAATATTGTCACCAAATCACTAAGATGAAGATAATCATTTAAACATAAGCAAATTCGTTTAACACACATAGTCATATGGAAATAATTACTTTTAAATATTTGATTACTTAAGATCTATAGTACGTATTAAATCGTATGGAACTTTTTGTCCACAATTAAATCCGAGGATCTCAGGTTCGAGACGTAATGACTCCAAACATGTCCTTTACATTCCACTGTGGATACACTATAACAGTAAGGGACAGTCTCACTATTTCGTTAAGAGTCATCGCTTTAGGCGGTGGGTGTTGCTATTGATTGCCTTCCATTTGGCTTATAGTTCAAACTAAGGACGTCTGTGTCAGAACCAGAAGAAGCTCTGCCCAGGAAATTTAACTTATTGTGTTCTGTGTTCAGCTGAACAAACAAACCCTTATTGTTGATTGTTATATTCTTTTGAAAAAATAAAGTAATGATGAAAAAACGGGAAATATAGGACTTTTATAAAATTAGTTGTAAAAAATAAGAGACGAAAGAGCTTGTTAATTATTACACTATAATATTATAATGCGTTGAAAAATAGTATATCAAGTTGTAAATATAAATAACGAAGTAGGTGTAGGTTCTAACTCAATAACATAGTAGCTTGTGTTAGGTACGTTCCGTGTACTAATGTTTTCTTCATTAACGAACGTGACTACTATGATACCTAACTTTTATATCCCAGAGAGGGCGCTAATGAGTAACTAAACACCGAGTTTCTTTTTTGTAACGTCTTGTAACATGCATTTTTAACAGACATTCCGCTTTCCTTTTCCAGTTACACGGTTTAACAGCGACTCAAAAAAAAAGCATCCATTAAAATGTAGGTTCCTCATACCAATAACAAGTCAGGCGGAGAATTTAATCTCCAGAACACAAAATCCCGATCAATAGGATTAGTTTCTTCTATTTCAATTTTTCTTTCACAGGTACCACCATCAAATATCTACTAACTTCCTCATATGCATGGTTTTTACTCAGTTTTAAAATATGAAACTTTCCCATCTTTTTTCTTCTTCAGTAAATGGGCTTAGTTTTTATGAAACAGTATTTAGATTTGTTTGTTTGTTTGTAGTTATGCATAACTTGGTCCTTTATAGTTTAGAGACGGTCTGGAAAAGAAAAGAGGGAACAAAAGCAATTAATTTCTTTACTGCTCTTTATGTGATAACATATATTGTTGTATCAGCTTTTGGTTGTAGTTAAGACACACAATGGACTATCTGTGTTCTGCCCACCACGGGTATCGAAATTCGGTTTCTAGCGTTGTAAGTCCGCAGACATACCGCTGTGCCACTGGGGGGCCAATATTTAGAATAAGGTTTGAAAGAAACAAATTTGAAAGTACACGGTGAAATAATAATTCTTTTAGTAATAAAAGAATAAACGTAAATATTATAATTTTCGAACTTAAAACGAATTTTTGAACTTCAGAATGTTAACAAGTTTCTTGAACTGACAGAAGTTCCCATATATTTTAAACTGTTTTCACTTAACCCTTATGTGGTTGAGTTTTTCTTATACCTTTGACTCGATATGGCCAGGTGGTTAGGGCGATCGACTCGTAATCTGAGGATCTGGGTTCGAATACCCCGTCACACCAAACATGCTCGCTCTTTCAGCAATGGGAACGTTATAATGAGACGGTCAATCCCACTATTCATTGGTAAAAGAGTAGCCTAACAGTTGGCGGTGGGTGGTGATGACTAGCTGCCTCCCCTCTAGTCTTACACTGCTAAATTAGGGACGGCTAGCGCAGATAGCCCTCGTGTAGCTTTACGTGAAATTCAAAACAAACAATCTTATATCTTTCATTACCGATGGGGTCCACATGTTACAACATATTGATCAGCATTATATTTTTGCTTGGTACGTAATATAGTGTAAAGAATTGCCAAAAACAATATGGAAAAAAATATTATTTTTCTATGGAAGTCTATGGAATACAACGCAAAAACGCGGGGTTCGACTTGCACAGTGTATACAACAGATACCTCAATCTGGGTTTTCTCTAAAATAACCAAACTAATATTTTCCTGTGTAAAACACATAGGAAAACCCGAGTAATAATTAGTTGGAGTAAGTGCAATATTGGTGATATTCTTTAAAAAAAAAAAAAGAGTGCGACTCATATGTTATTAGGGATCTGGAGTCAAAAAAAAAGAAAAGAGATCCATTAATCGGAACGCTGTCGGGAAATAGAAAGCGTACGAATCACGAAAATCATTGCTTTATGATTTATCAAAATTTGCATCCGACTCAACTTATTATTGTTATTTATAAATGAGTAAATATGAATGTATTTTTGCATGGTTAAAATTTAATTCTCATTCCTTTGACTCCGCTCCCAAAAATATTGTAGATGACACTTTCCTACCCCCAGTGGCTCAGTGATAAATCTGCGGGTTGATGGCGCTAAAAGTCGGGTTTCGATACCCGTGGTGGGTACAGCACAGATAATCAATTGTGTAACTTTGTGTTTAATAAAAACCAAATCAAACACTTTTATATTGTATATGAAAACATCATAAGCTCTTGAACGTGCGATTTCTTGGAGAAAAGCTGTTGACAAACATTCCGTTGATCTTCAAGTAGGGTTGTGTATAAATATTTTGCGCTTACATGGGATCGACTAATTGGTTAATATGAAGTGACATCGATGTTGTTGTTTGCTAAGAAAACTATAGTGTTTAAATTAAACGAAAAGAAATAGCCAACTACTGATATTTACTCGTTTTTTTTGTTTTTTAAAGAGAGTCCATCTTGTCTGAAAGAACAACTATATCAGAATATCTCAAAGGCAAACATACACGGATGGAGCTCTACTAGATAATGTTGATATCGACCTGGTTTGGTTGAGGAAACGCTGATCGAAGCTGAACCTGCATTGTAGAAGTATAGGTATCGTGGTGTGACGTTAACGGACGATGGATTATCGTTTCGATAGAGATGTAAAAGATAAGTTAAATTCTGCCAACAATTATTCCGTAAAATATATATCTGGATTATCGTTTTGATAGAGATATAAAAGATAAGTTAAATTCTGCCAACAATTATTTCGTAAAATATATATCTCTTGATATACTTAAATTTACACTCGTCCCAGTAAACATTACTTGAGATCTGGAACGTTATGATTAATGTACTTTGAAGTACGTTTAATCCATGTAAAATCCATCCCACGTCTTGACGGCACATGATGAACTCCAGTTTCAATAACACAAGCGGATGAAAATAGTGTACTACAACAGAAACGCAACACGTATGACAACCTTTCACGTGTGTGCGAACAATTGCAAGCAAACAACGAATTCACTGAAACTTAAGACACACATATATATATATACGACTACATAACGCGAACAGAAGTTATAAACAATGGTTTCACTAAAACTCAAGATATATATATATAGGAATACATAACGCGAACAGAAGTTATAAACAATGGCTTTCACTAAGACTCAAGATATATATATATATAGGAATACATAACGCGAACAGAAGTTATAAACAATGGTTTCACTAAAACCCAATATATATATATATAGATACGACTACATAACGCGAACAGAAGTGGCCAACAATTGCAAGTAACGCATGATAAACTACATATTTGCGGGAAAATATTGTGTTTGTAATAAAATTTAAAAAATAATAATTAGTGAGGCATTATTTCAACATAGATATCGCCAGCCAGTGGTATCGTTTGTAGTACCAGGCTGCTGATACGTATCACCAA